CCTGTAGATTAAAGCCTCACCCGATAAATAACCGCAGCGCACCGCACGGAGTTTACAGCAGCTGTTAGCTAACGCGTGCGGGCTTCGGAGCTCGGTGTGTGGTGTTCTAATGGGGTCTTCTTGCGTGTGAAAGGCCGAGAGTTTTATTTGGTAGACCCGGGCTCATTCTCTCACGTAGAAAGCAAAGGGGGGGGTTGGGGAAGTGTGTTAATGTTGAGGTGTTCTTGATGCATTGCCAGAACAACTCTTTTCCTCAGTAGACTGGAGTACTTGGAATTTTTCTGTAAGATGTCTTTGGAATATTCTATTTCCCTCTTTCTATTCTGCTCATGTTCAGATAAAGCTGTTCACCAGGAAGGTCGTGATATAAGACTGGGAATAAAGGGAGGGATAAAGAGGGAAAGGAAAAAGGGAGCACCATTTAGTTGCTAAAGTGCAAATAACCATAATGTCAGTGTTAAAATGCTTTTCATTTTTAAACAGGAGAAGGCAGTTGCTCTAGGTGAAACTTGAAGTGTGTGCTGACCTGTCACATTCAACCTTGTTATTCTCTGGTGTAGGTCCTAGCGATGCATCTCCAGATGAAGGAGTAGTAGAAGATCTGCCTTTAATAGACGAGAAAGCTGTGGAGCAGCTAACTGAAGGATTGATTTCTCATTATCTGCCTGATCTTCAGCGATCAAAATTAGCATTACAGGAACTTACGTAAGCAAGTTTTTACAAGCAACTTCTTACACATGCATACTTGGTCTGCCACTTTTTTTCTATGTCATGTTCTAGCTACCCTGAACTGGAATGTAGTTTATTGTAGTATTTCTGTGTTCTGACTATCCCTGAATAGTTAAGGGATTTGCAGGAGTACTGAGGTGTGTGTAAGCTGCAGTGTAGCCTGTCAGAACTTTGACTGAAGAATGTGTAGTGCTAGAACACTAAAATCCCCTAAACCAAGTATAGCAGAAGACATGCAGATTTCTTAAATACTTGTTCACATCTGTAGTGGAAAGTGCTGAAAGCTGGATTTATTTTGCTTGCAGAGATGCAGTTCATAGTCAGGACAGCTTGTAGTGCAGTATATTTTTTGTTGTCCAGTCTCCAAATTGTGTTGCAAAAGATACATTTGGAAAATATAATGGAGAAGCAAAATATATAAGAATTCTTTGTACATTGGGATCTCACTAATAACTGAGAACAGTTTATTTCAAATGCAGACTGGATCTGCCATGGGTGCGAAGATCCTGGAAGGGGCTTTACACAGACCCATCTCAGGTTTTGCAGGGTACAGTGGTTTGGGTTTCACGATGCACGATGTGGTTGTGCTGCTGCCAAGAACAGCCTGTGTCTGGAAAGACTTCAGCTGATTTGTGTGGGATGGAAGAGCCTTAACAGGCACCAAGAATCCACAGAAGTTCTGTACAGAAATAACAGTCCTGCAGCATGACACAGAGGCAACCAAGTAGAAAGTCCAGAGCTAATTGTTTTTCCCTTCGTTCAGCCTGGGGTGTTTACTCCCTGCAGCCTGCAAAGTGCTTGGTGAGGGGTTTTTGGATATTCATCCTGAATATCTTAACATGGTGTATGATGCCAGCTGCATTTGTGTGTACTCAGCTGGGATTTTTCTAAAACCATTTATTGATGTCTTTATTGAAATAGCCAAGCAATGTATAAGAGGAATCTGATCCTGGGAAGCATGTATTTATATTGTTAAAATCAAAAGTTGTATTTATTTAAAGGGCTGGTTGAAAAGCATATGTGCTGCTTTACTTTAGTTTTATGCATCTTTTTTTGTTTCAGACAGAACCAAGTGGTGTTACTAGAAACATTAGAACAAGAAATTTCAAAATTCAAAGATTGCAACTCCATTCTTGATATCAATGCTTTGGTAAGTACTATTAATGCTTTCTTAAATCCCTCTTGGTGTAG